TGATGTATTTCAGTTTTCTCCATCTGAATGGGCTTTGATTTGATGACTGGCTGACCATTTTTGGCCGGTCTGTACTTTGGCTGGTAGTCGTCAATTGGCTCCTGTTTATGAAAAATATCGGGCGATAGTTCGTACGCTTTGGGCGATTGGCTTTCGATGATTGTTGTCTTTTGGGTGTATTCCTCGACAACTGGTGGCCGATAATGTCTTGGGAAGGGTGTAGTAGTAGTAGTGGTCGTGTGATATACTATGGGCGGTGTTGGGGGAGCGCTGGGTTCGGGACGTAGCCGCTCAGTGGGGACATAATCGGGCTGTTTCTTTGGCCATTTAATGGCCGGACGGGTGACGGCAGTGGGGGTCACGTGACGGACAGCCGGTTCGTAGGGCTTCTGACGAGCGCTGGTGTAATACTTTTGCTGCGACTGCGGGGCCGCCGGCGGTGGGGCTACGGACGGCCTTTCGGTGGCCACTGGGGGCGAGAGATAGGACTTCTCGGGCGCCGCCGACGGTATGTGTGAATCAGTATTATATGAGAAATCATAAGTATTTTTGCCATTAGTGTTGCGAACGCTATTGAAATCAGTGTTGGGTTTATTGAGTCTATCAAACGATTCAAAACTGTTTGGCGTAAATGATTGCCTAGTGTTTGATGGATAATGATTTGAATCAGTGGTGCCATGAGTGCCATGAGTGCTATGGATGGGCTGAACACTCTGGCGATTATTGCCGTTCCCGTTATCCTTCTCTTTATAGGCTTTTTTGAACGCATCGCTAACTGTCCCAAAATCGTTACCATGTGTTTGTTGTACACCATTCCTAACGCTATTCCCATTTTGGTTATTATGATAATGAGTTTGTGTACTCTTTCTCTCATTAACTCCTGTATTGGTTGTCGTCGACGATGAAGACGATGGCAGCGAAGAAGTGGACGGATTCCTCTGACGTTCGCCAAAATTGCCACCAAAACTGTTGGCTTTAATATCTCGCGACGGATTCGTGTCTTCGCTATTACTGTTGCCATCATTTGATTCATTATTGGAGTAATTATTTTGATTATTCGCCTCTGAATTGCCTAATGATAGACACGTTTGAAAGATATATAAAAACATCAAAATTGATATAATTATTCATTTAGTTTAGAGGAAGGGTTTGTGTATTAAAGACAATCATTAATTAATAGCCATTCAAAGCGTTTAGTAGACGATGTCATCAAAGAAATTATATAATTATTTTATTCCTAAATTTTTTTGTTTCACTTATTATTGAGTTATTTATAGTGTTTTCAAGTATTTATAGTGTATTCATGCGAGTTATAAAAAAGTTATGTGTATTTTTTAATTTAATTTAATTTGATGACAATTTTCTAATTATATTCAGTCATTCTGTCAATTATTTATGTGTTTTAAGGATTCAGAAAAAAGTATTTAAAAGTTTGGTTTAAAAGTTTTTGTTTAAAAATTTTAAAACCAATTAAATAGACTCTCGCAGACAATTAATTGGATAATGAAATGATTATAACAATAATAAACACAAACAATAAAGTGATTTATTAGCAATTGAAAGGATTGGGCGAAGTTTTTACCACTAGTTTATAAAAAGTTTATTTGTTATACAATTGTCTGACATTGAACTCAAAGACCAATTGATAAATTATATTGTGTTAAAAATGGGTAAACGTTTTGCGAAAGATCTATGTATTTATTTTTTATATAAATTGTGGGCTTTTTATAATAGGAAAGCAAAACAAATTTACAGAAAACACACACATCTCTCGTCTTATCGATCAACTCTTATACACAATCTTTGGGTACATTTATATACAGGAATTGTTGGTCTAATTGTGCCGTATATTCATTGAATTCAACGAGATATTTAGGTTAAAAATTATGGCGATAATAGAAAATATTAGTTCTCTCTCTCTCTCTCTCTCTCTCTCTCTCTCCTCAATACTATTATGTTTTCGTTATTATTTATTTTTAAGGTTTAGATTCAGTTATTCTTAACTATTGAAGATAATAAAAAAGAGTAACCAAATAACCAACAAAATAACAAATAAAAAAGTTCTCAAACAAAAAAATCATATAATTTTTCTCAGATTGTGTTTTTCGCACTTCATTTGAATCTAAATTTAGTTTTTGCTAAATATATTGAGAGAAGAGCTCATTGATTGGAAATTGATAACCAGTTTCCACATTCATATCAATCTTTAAGTAATACATCGACACAACCAACAAAAAAGATCAGTTATTTATTTCAATAGTTATTATCATTATTATTATTACTACCCATTGATTAGACAAAAAATATCTATTGCTTTTCTGAAGGGATAGAGTATATGTTTATAAAAATAAACTTCATATTATGAGACCAGAGATCATAAAAAACTAATGTTATTATTCATTATAGAAAATAATAATACATTTAATAATAATAAAGTTGTCAAAGCTATTGATGGCTATGAAAAACATAGTAATTTCCAAAGGATTCAATATATTTTTGTAACAAAGTATTGAGTATTCTTTGGGACTATCCTTTGCAACACTTTGAGTACATTTATAGTTAAATATTTGTATGCATTATAATTTATAAATCGCATGCCTTTTGTCAATAATATTTCATTTAATAAACTGATTATTAAAATAGCATTTATTTGCCAAATATATTGTATGTAATATTTTCTCTCTCGAAGATAACCTAATATTCAAATTTCAATATATAGTAAAATGATTTCAAATACTCCTCTCATACGGTGTTTAAGGCTATAATTATTATTCAAGTAATTATGTCTAAAATAATAGTCGAAAGTATGCCTTCGGAAAGAGAGAGAGAGAGAGAGAGAGAGAGAATAATTATACAAATTAGAAACATTTTGTCTCAAAACTAATAATTGTCTCATTTTTACGATCAAATAATGTAAATTCAATGAATACCTTCTTTCTTAGGGTATTGGCTGTCGTTTTTGACAATCTTTGTGTCGACATAAGTGTCATCAGATGGTGGGGTCGGCGGTGGCTTTGGCGGAGTCACACGTCTGGAGTTATCCAAACTCTTAGTTTCATAAATAGGTTCTCGGAATCCGTTCTCTTTGGTCTCAAACTTAGGGGCCGTCACTTCGATCTGCATTCTATCCCTATTGCCATCTCTATCGCCATTGAAGTCGTGGGACATCACGTGTGACACCGATGTGCCGGGTGTGGGGTAGAGATGATTGTTACCCCAGACAGGCTCGGCCTGACACAGATCGTCGAGAGCGTCCGTATCGCAAGTCATGTCCTTTTGGTTAAACTTGGAGTTTGACGGACACAAGAAGGTGTCCCGTTTGCCACCAGTGCCGCAGTAGTGAAACACTTCGCACCGGTAGTCGGGATCGCCGTAATAGCCCTCCGGGCGTGACGTGCAGTCAAACTTCACGTTAGGCAACGAGACCTGAAGTTGGCTCAGATCGACGTCCACTTCTTCCTGGATCTCCTCCTCCGTTGCGTCGGTTGACTTCACCGATACAGTGGTTGGCCCGGGAGTAGTGGTCGTGCCCGACGTGGTTGTGGTCTGAGCTCTGGAATACGTATACTTTTGTCGGCTAATTGTGGCCTCAGTTACCGATTCCGATGCTTTTAGCGGCGGTTTTGTCACATCCATTGCAATGGGTTTTGTGACACTCTTTTCCGTTTCCTATATAATTAGAGGAAATCATTAAATTAATTGAAAATTCAATTACTTTTAATTATTATTGTTATTACTATTCATTAATTATACGCGAGATTAGTTTTTAGTTAGTCAATATATCTCAAGACATATTTTGACAAAACAATAATTAAATTAGTGTTATTGTGTACACTGTATAGCGTTGTACACAATACCCCTTATAATGAACAAAATATGATATACTTTAAGCGATTTTAAATTATCGATTTTTGTACAAAATATTTGTGCGGTTTTCACTCAATTATAATTGCTTTTGACTCAACAAGTCTTGCATATAAGGCATCCGCTATTCATTAGCAGATCTCAAATTGTTTTTCACTACAACTTCTTCGTTATAATTGTTATAATTATCACAAATCATGCAATTCTTCAACAGAGTCTGTATTTCCAATGTTTGTCATTCATAATCAAAGAGTCTGTCATATAATGTAATTTTCAAAACTACAGTAATTACAGTATTTGCTCCAAATATTTCCTTCTCTCTCTCTCTCTCTCTCTCTCTCTCTCTCCAAAGGGTATAAGAAAAACAATTGTTCGACAATAAAAAACTAAAACAATAAAACCTCTTTTGCAAAATCATAAACAAAACCATTTGAATCTCCGATTTGTTTCTTCTCAATGAACCCCGAAATGTATGCATAAAAATAAATGCATTAAAATTAATACAAACGGAAGATATATTACATATTGTATTGATTTATCGTTAATAGTGTTAATCGATTTCTCACGCGTTTAACATATAATTGAATCGAGATTTTTGTCAATCAATCACTAGTTTTTTGTTTATTATTATTAAACAAATGCCACAACTATTTTGAATGAATGGTGTTTTGCATTAAAAATTTATTGATTGTGTTATTTTTGGGCATAACATTTTAATTAACGCAAAGTTGCGATTATTATATAAAAGTTTTTCATAGTTTGTTTGTCAACAAAAAATTTGTGTTTAAATTTTACACAAATTGTATTTATTTTTAATACATTAAAAAATTTATAACAACTTAATCTAAACTTTTTAAAATCAATTTTTCTAATTGTTTGTTCAGTTATTATCTAAAAGTTTGTAAAAACAATCCCAAAATAACACATAAAATATTATCAGCGATAGTCTATCAGAGAAGGGTTTAGTGAAAGTCTTATCAAACGTTATAAATCATGATATCTTGTATTTTACAATGAATTTCACCCAAAAAATAAATGACATTAACATTCAATCTATGCATAAATCAAATGCAATGTCAGATAACGAAGAAAAAGGTTATTTAAAGGCATTTATTGGTTGCCAATTGATTCACACAATTAAATGCTCATTAGAAACACTCTAATTGTTATTTACTTTAAGGGTTTTGTTTTTCTCTTGAATAATATTAATAACAATAATAAACCAGTTATGAAGAAAAATATTCAGTCAATTACTATATGTATGCAAAATAGTAGACAATCAATATTATTGATTAATGCATTTTCAGCTATTATTTTCTTACTGGTATTAATTGTGTCACAAGAATATATTTTCACAACTAAATTAAATATATATTTATTATTTAACTAAACTTTTTTAATAACAATATTTGCGATGAAATGCATTTTAAAATAGTTTCGTGAAAATGTTTGTCTGTCGTGTGTTTTCTCACATACTTTTAAGTTTACTTTTTTATTGCTTTTGTTTCTTAACATACTTTGCAATTGATATAACATTTTATAAATAAATTTAAACCTATTATTAATTATCCAAATATTTGATAGTTTATTAACCATTGATTAGTTAATATAAATTATGCCCTTGTTGATATTAATTGCCATCAATTATATTTTGTTTTTGTTTACTTTAAAACATTTATTTTTGATTGTTTTTATGTAAAAAATAGTAAAAAATAAAAGTTTTAAAAGTACTATTTCACGATTATTTATAATTAATTTTAGACACAAAATCAATTACAAAAACAAACTATTTAAAAAAATTTAGTTCTTATAAAACAAACAAATATAACTGTAATATTAAAAGTTTTAAATGAATGAATGAGAAGTATCTTATTTTATTTTTATTATGAATGAAAATAATCAATTATAAAATTGTATCACTTTTTGTCTACTCTTTTAATTTACAAATAAAAACACTTTTGTATTGTTTTAATTTAATTTAATTTATTTTATAATTATTTTCTTTTCATATTATATTTTTAAATTTAAATTAATTAAAAATCTAATCCTTTTATAATAACATGTCAGCAATACTTCCGTTAGTTTTCAGACATAATTTTAAAGTATTTGTAATTAACATGTTATAAATATATATAATTATTTATTAATCAATTGAGTCTCAATTAACTTAAAGGATATTGGTGATTGGTATATTTTTAATGAATTATACTATTACAAACAGATATATAATTATTTTTAATAACTATTTTATGTTTAATTAAATTTTATAATTATAACAATATCCACAATTACTTCCAATAAAATTTATTTTATGATTACATTTTACATATGATTTATAAAATAATATGTTCATTAAATTAAATATTATAAAGTTTAATATACTTTATTTAAAATATTAATCTTTTTGTTTAAGTTGTGAATAAATGAAAAATTATATAAAAATGGGACAAAAGTTTTAAAACTAGATGCAAATAAATTATTCATTGAAGACATGATTATTTAAACACGAATTGCATATTTAGATATAATCTAGATATCGTGCTAGGGCATTTAATTTGTTTGTTAATACCTAAATGTAATTCTGTGTTCATATCAGTTAAATGGTCACAGAATTCACTCCCAAAATATTACACAACTTTAAAGAAAAAATAATAATTTTCAATAATTGAAAAATAAAAACACCATAAAATCTATTATAAATTAATTAT